GATGGCGAAGGCGCGTAGCCTGAGTCCCAGTTCAACTGTTGTTGAACTTGGTCGATTTTGATGGCGAAGGCGCGTAGCCTAAGTCTTGTTTTAACCGTAGTTGAACTTCTTGGCGAGGGTGCACAACCTTGATTTAATGACGAAGGCACTTAGCCTGAGTCTTGGTTTAACCGTAGTTGAACTTCTTGGCGAGGGCGCATAGCCTTGATTTAATGACGAAGGCGCTTAGCCTGAGTCTTGGTTCAACCGTAGTTGAACTTCTTGGGGAGGGCGCATAGCCTAGATTTAATGACGAAGGCGCTTAGCCTAAGTCATAGTTCAATCGTATTTGAACTTTGTCAATTTTGATGACGAAGGCGCGTAGCCTGAGTCATGGTTCAACCGTAGTTGAACTTACTGGCGAAGGCGCATGGCCTGAGTCCCAGTTCAACTATTGTTGAACTTAGTCGATGTTGATGGCGAAGGCGCGTAGCCTGAGTCCCAGTTCAACTGTTGTTGAACTCTGTCGATTTTGATGGCGAAGGCGCGTAGCCTGAGTCCCAGTTCAACTGTTGTTGAATTCTGTCGATTTTGATGGCGAAGGCGCGTAGCCTGAGTCCCAGTTCAACTGTTGTTGAATTCTGTCGATTTTGATGGCGAAGGCTCATGGCCTGAGTCCCAGTTCAACTGTTGTTGGACTCTGTCAATTTTGATGGCGAGGGCTCGTGGCATGAGTCCCAGTTCAACTGTTGTTGAACTTTGTCGATCTTGATGACGAAGGCTCATGGCCTGAGTCCCATATTGTGGGTATTGAGTGCTGAAACTCGTTTTGGATTCGAGACCTTGAGCGGCTTATCCGTTGCCTTCCCAACCTGGGTATATAGACTGTCTTGAGGCGACTCTCGGCTCGAGATATCTCCGTGCCGGTTTCTGACCGGAGCTCGTATCAGGGACGTGGGAGATGCCTTACAGAGACCTTCCCTTAGGAGGAAGGGGGGCTTCTTCTTCTTGTTTGCACTATCTGAGATCGGAGAGAGAGAAAGAGAGGACTTAGATCTTGATTTGAGATCTTCGAGTTCCTCCTCGAGCTTGGCGTTTCTTTCCTTTTGGTCCAGGGAAGAACTACGCGATTTTGCTAGGAAATTCCCACAGACGACGCCAAATTGTTCGACTCAAAAGTTATCACATACCTTATGAGTATAAAACAATATAAATAAATCACAGGAAAATCATAGCAAACCGTAATAGTCCGTTGGACCAAATGAAGGAAACGAAAATAAGTACTCAGGATTAGGGGGAGAAACATTAGAAGCCTTTATTGATAATATTGGTTTGGTCTGCCTCTCCATGAAGAGGTTCAGAGCCTTACAATGGTGTTCCTTTTGCCCACAATCTGGGTCTCGTTATCCCTTTTTTTCTCTTTCTCTAGTGGTCAAGAAGAAGCCCCCCTTTCTAGGGTTTCCTCTCTTGGTATTTATAGCTGTAAGCTTCGTGAGCTGGCAATAAGTGGCCGTGA